TTCGTTGTGCTACATTGGTGACAGAAGATGAACGTCTGAATTTGGAGCTTTATAATATCATTTCAAACTCAAACGATCCCAAAAAGAGAAGAATAGAGCAGTACAAACCTCTGTTCCTATGCTGATAGATGCTATACGTACAAAGAAGTTCCATTGCAGTTCTGTAAGTTACACTGTAATTTTTTTGACCTGGTATTTTTATACTTACACCAGAGTTGTTTTTGCAGAGCTACTTTTAGGGGACCATCAAAATAAGGTGCTACAAAAATATCTTACCTGCTGCTCACCTTGACAAACCTCAAATGAAAGTGAAAACACCTTTAAGATCTTGAGGACTTGATTTGGTTCTTAGTTCTTGATTTAGAACAGATTTTATACAAGTGTGCAGCTGAGCTACAAACAACACAAAAACAAAGAGAACGCACCCAGATGCCTAGTTTTGATAAATAACAGTTGTTTCCATGAAAAATAGCAAATGAGTGATGCTCAGAAGAGTCTGTGGAGCGATACAATTTTTCCATACTGTCCAGTGTTCATCAATTTTTTGGTACCTTTTGAAACTTTGACACCTTTACAATGTACCAATTTTGCTAGCATCAGATGCTCCGCTCAAATAAGTATACACTAGATTGAAGAAAGGCTTGTGTAGCATCTGTAAACGTTATTCAGAGGTTTGTTAGAAGCATTTAGTAGCTAGTAAACTATTCTTGCATGCTTGCTGACGGACTTTAGTTTCATGCTGGTCTGTTTTTGTCGTAGCACTGTTTTGCCACGGCCTGCCCTGGTACGTTGCGTAAAAACGAAGTACTGTGGCCATTTCAGCACAGACACACTGAGCGACAAAACATACCAGATTCTATGGTGACAGTGAGAAGCCCATCTTATTAGACCTATGTACCATCAACCAGCAAAATATGGCACAGAATATTGAAGTGGAGGCCCACTGAGCACAGCTCAGCAGCTGAGCAGCTGGAAGGGGCGAGTGCAGAGAGTTCCATGTAACTGACACCAGCTGACAGGTCATGAAAGGAAACCACGCTGGGCAGCCGAGCGAGGGGATGGGCTGGCGAGGGCTCGGCCTCCCGCGCCTTTTAACGGCGGATTGATTTGCTGCGGAGCGCACGGGGCACATTCCTTCCACATGCAGGAGGAGCCTTGTGCTGTCGGCTACGGGCCGCTTTTAGCACACCATGCTTTCCAACCAGCGGAGCCAACTGACAGGTGCCCTCCCACCCCCCCTCCATCCCCTCTGTACAGTTTCCACATAAAACTGGGGTGAGAGATAAACAGCACCATCAGAGGGGGTGGGGTGGGGGGGTGAGGAATCACTGTACTGAAGAAGGAGGACAGTGAAAACATGGGCCCCTAAGCTGTATTAATGCCTATTAAGGGAGTGCCACTAATTGATTGCATTCACCCCGGGCTGAAAGCCATCTGTCAGGTTTAGCAATTACCTACAGAGAGGGCTTTGCCAACTGTGCTGTTATGTGAGTGTAGTTACTAAGTGATAGTTTTTGTTGTTGACACTTGCACACAAGGTTTTATACAAGACAATGATCCTGAAATTGAATGGCAGAAAGCAAAGCTTTAAATTGTTTAATTTTTATCCATACTAAAGGAACTGTATAGGAATTACAGCCCACTTTATACACAGTCCCCTCTTCTTAAAGGACTACGGGGTCAGATTTACTAAAAGAGGCTCCGAAAACATACAGTCTACTGACACGTTGCGCCTTTGAGTGTCTCCATATCTACTTATCTAGTGCACCACCATCTAGTGCATGAATAGTACGTCAAGTTTTTTTTTAAATCCTTCTCTGATTCTGGTTCACACTGTAACTCACTACGTTCAAACAATTATTTCCTCAAGATTTTGATTTAGTCAGTCAAAGTAATGGTTAATAACTAAAGAACAGTTATTACACTTCGAGAAAGTGTGTAATTATTTACATAATACGTCATTGTTTTGAGAAAACAAGACATTATTTTCACATAATATTCACTGTCACCTCATTGATCCCTTTCTTTGCCACTATACACCCCTGTAACTGCTGCTGCACTCAGCACTTTAACTTTAGACCCATACTTTGCACAATGTAAAGGTTACAGGTATGACTGTGTGTGTGTGTGTGTGTGTGTGTGTATGTATGAGTGAGTGATGGTAGGAATGCATGTTTTATTTTTCTTGTATTGTATTTTATTTTATTTCATTGTATTTTATTCTATTCTATTTTATTTTATATTTATTTTATTTTATTTTATTCACTACATGTAAATGTCTGTCTGATACTGTGCACTGTGAGCTCCAGTAACCAAAACCAAATTCCTTGTATGTATAAGCATACCTGGACAATAATGCTTGATTCTGATTCTGATCATAAATACAAAGCGAGACAGTAAGGAATAATTGTGACTCTGTTTTGAAGCATGTTCTTTTGGTGGTTTGAGCTGAACTTGAGTTTAGAATTTGTGTGATTTTGTAAATAATCCCTGTTTAATTTCACTGTGAGCCTCCTGCTCAATTAGGAGAACTGGCCCTTATTCATCAAAGTTGGGTAACAAAGAGTGCAGATTTATCTGCCTTCAATGACATACGAACTACTCATCTGCGTCTGATTCATAAAACTTCTGTACGATGTGGAAACAAGAGATTTAAGCAGAAATGATGAATCAGCTTTAGTGTGTGAAATCAAGTGCCAGCCTAGCAGCACCTCATTACATATCATTTACATGAAGCACACTCTAATTCATGCAGATGTTTCAGAAGGGAGCCAATAAAATGACTGTATTCAGCAGCTCGTAAGCCAATGGCTGAACTCGTAGAATTTAAGGTCAAGAAGTGAGCGCACTGCTTCCCCTACTGACCAAACTTTACAGCATTACAATCATGACGTGTGGAAAGAATAAAAAGACAGCAGAATGACGTGATGTGGTGAATATTCTCCTAAACTAACCTATTTAAATGCTGTACTACTGCAGTGTATGGGATGCTTTTGCACTGGCTGTGTTTAGTATTTTATTTTTCGTCAGTATTATAAAACAAAAAACAGCGTAATATGTATTTAAACAGAATACTGAATAGTTGCAGCATTTATTTACAAAAAATGAAAAAATTATAGATGATATTGACAAAAGTCATGGTTAGTTAACTGCAAATCAAGCCTTCTTTTTTTAGGTTGTAAAAACAAACATGCTCAAATTCACACACACTCCTACCAGACATGAGTTCAATCACAGAGATGCCAAAAATAAAACCGATGAACAATAAAACAAAATAAAATAAAGATTTTTACAACTAAATTTGAGCATAAGCAACTTCGATGAATTAGGGCCTGTATGATTTGAACTCATGGTGAGCATAACTTCTTAGCTAAGTGAAGTGCAACACGTCACATTATGGCTGTGACATCTCTTTAACAGATGCCACAGTTCTTTAGTAAAACAGTGACATGCAGAGCCCAAGAGTTTGAAAAAAGCTGAAACTAGAAAATAGTCAAATCATTATTTTGACAAAACCTGCACAGTGACTGCCACTTTCATCTTATTATGGGTGCTAAAGAGTCGTCGCTCCTTTATAGTAAATCACAACAGCCATTTTTAATGCCTAAACAAGGTTCGCGATGGCACAAAATCTTCCCCTAAATATGATGGGGTGAATTGGTAATATTATTCAAAACGTTCATTTATAGTATTTAAATATTTTACAATCAATAGTGCCCAGACACCATCAGATCCTGGTGTCTTCCCTGATGACATTCAGTCATGCTTGCAATGTACTGCTTGGTTTCGGAAAACGGCTTAGTTGCCTCAGTAGCATGTCCAGCCTCAAGGCAAAGCACTGTTCATTGATAAAACTGGTTGAATACAAGCAGTTACAGATGCTTCTGTTGAATTCAGAATTCATCCTATTGCTGCCGCCTGCGGTCACATCATCAATAAAGATGAGTGATCCAGTTAAACTGGCAGCCATAAAATCCCAAGCCAACATGTTTTATAGTTGAAGTGGGTTTGCTTTGGATCATGAGTAGGTCCATTTTTCTCCACACCTTCATCACTCTGGTACTGACTGATCTCGGTCTGTCTCAGAACTGAACAGGCTTTTGTCGCACAGCCATATAAGCGTGTCCCAAGTCTGATCTTGGCGATGCCACAGCCATCTGTGGCCTGCAGTCCAAGACAGAATAACTGGCCTCGCTCTTTCTGGGTGGGTAAGACGGTCCTCCCTCTTCCCCATCACTTAGTGTGATGCTAGCCAACATGGGCATCTGTTTCTGACATAACAGAATTAGCAGTTAGTGCTCTCCTCCAAGTGTGTTGAGCTGTCAAATGATGCAGTTTGAAAAGACGTGCCTTTGTGGTAAACCTTCTAAAATTCTGCTGGTCCGTTCATCATTATTAAACATTCTGTGAACAGAATTTATCTGTGACCAGAAAGGCCATCCAACGTACACGTGGAGACAGACAAAGCAAACACTGACCAGGTCATAAAGGACACTGACACTTCATTTCTCTACCTTTAAATGAAAATAATGCTGTGATAGCTGGAGGATGGCCCTTGTTTTCTGTGTTACTTCCATGTTAACCCTTACGGTGCAGCACAACACTATTCTTCAAAGGTGAAGCTTCAGTGTATTCACATTCCTGCCACCCACAGACATGCGTAGGCCGATGGTTCTTTAAAAGCCAGTGGAACTCCCAAGATAAGCTGCACAGTTCAGCACAAACAGAGGCAGCCTGGCACTGCCGTCAACCCAAAACAATCCAAAAACGGCATCCACAACACACAACACTGCAGCACTGCGGGTCTGATTATCAGGACATGTTTATGGAGAACCTAGTCTCTGATCTGCTGCTTCTGATCTAAAACTAACTTGTGCTGCTCAGCTGGGCTGTTATGGCTGGATGGGCTATGATATGTGGGCACTGTCTGGTTGAATGCATTATTAATGCACTGGGATCTCGGAGGATAGACAGAAAATGCAGGCCACTGTGGCTCTCACCAATAGCCGTCTCTGGCATGGCGAACAACGTCTTCTCGGTGGCCACACGGAACCGCCCATGGACCGAAAGGCCAAAACCCTGGGGAGAGAGAAACAGGGATGAAGAGGGAGGAAAGATAGAGAGATATAAAGACAGAAAGCGAGAGAGAAAAGGTGAGAGAGAGGGGGAGGGGGAAAAGGAAAAAGAGAGGGAGAGAAGGAGAGAGAAACACACAAAGAGATAGAAATAGACAAAAACAGGGAAGGAAAGAGACAGAGAGAAAGCAAGAGAGGGGAGGTGAGAAGGGTGAAAGAGAGGGAGAAAAAGAGGGAGAAGGAGAGAGAAACAAGGAGAAACAGAAAAGGAAAAACAGGAGATTGTGGAAAGATATAAAAAGGCGAGGAAGAAAGAGAGAGGTGGAGAGAGAAAGAAGAAAGAGGTACAAAATATGAGAGAGAGAGACAGAGAGAGAGGGGAAGAGGGAAGGCAGGGGGATAAAGAGAAATACAGAAAGAGATGGAGAGAGACAGAGAAAGCATAAAAAAGAAAGATGGAGAGATAGAGGGAGGAGAGAGTGAAATAAAAAAGAAAAGAAAAACAGAGAGAAGAGAGAGTGAGATAGAAATAGAGGGAGAGAAGGAGAGAGAAACAGAAAGAGACATAGCAATTGACAGAGAGAAAGCAAGAGAGGGGAGGTGAGAAGGGAGAAAGAGAGGGAAAACAGGAGAGAGCAGGCATGAGAAACAGAAGGAGAAACAGAAGGAGAAAAACAGAGGAGAGTGAGGAATGATAAAGGGAAACAGACAGAAAGCAAGGGAGCAAGAGAGGGGTGGAGGGAGAAGGAGAAATAGAAACAACAAATGAGAGAGAGAAAAAGAGGAAAGACAGGGAGATAAAGAGAAAGAGATGGAGAGACAGAGAAAGTGACAGTGAAAGTGACAGAGAAAGAGTGAAACAAAAAAGAGAAGAGAGAAAAACAGAGAAGAGAGAGTGAGGCAGAAAGAGAGTGATAAAGAGAAAGAGATAAAAGGCAAGTTTATTTATATAGAGCATTTTCTACACAGGTGTAACTCAAAGCTCTTTACATATCAATGATAAATACATGAAAACACAAACATAAATATAAAGACAAAACAGCTCAAATAGACAGAAAATAAATCAGTAAGGCTCATGTCGACTCAGAGGCAGCATATGGAAACATGCAGAGAGCAGCAGAACGGGCGCCAAGTCCTCTACACCGTCCGCTGTTAGTGTGGCTAATTAAGAAGAATTAGACAGCATTGGAGGCGAGGGGTCGAGGATGCCCTCCCGAACAGATGCGCAGAGCTGGACTGACCGGCTCCGTCAAGGAAACACCGCCTCTCCCTAGGCGCTGTTGCCATAGTAACGCAGGAGGGACACCGGATTTGATGAACTGGTTGTGAGTTGTGTCTGAGACCCAATGTCAGGACGCTACCGCCTCAGCAGCAGAGAGAGAATGTGATATTGCCAGAGGAGTCAGATTCTGTTTGACTGACAGACTGTGTGTCTGGCGGCGCGTGGTGTACGATCGCACCATCCGCTCTGAGTAGGGAGGCATCAAGATAGAATGTGAGGAGTGAAAATGATGAAACCAGTAAGACAGACAGATATATTTACTGTTCTGCATTCAAACCCAAACTGACACTTTCAGCGAGCATATTCTAGGTAAAAACTCTGAGGATGCTAGCTGCCTCATGTTCTCTAGAATTCATAAATCACTCCAACGCTTAGGTTTCAAATGACTCGTTACTTTAGTTTTGAAAGTATTTTGTGAGATCCCCCCTCACTGAAACCTGGCTAAATATGCTTAATGCAATTCTGTTGTCCTTTGGTGAAACCTGAATATCTTCCACACCGCTGACACTTTCACTGTGCAGCATCAGAGTGACTATTAGGCCTGTATATCATTCAAAGTTTATCAAAACCAACACCATGTCTGTTATCTTGACATCGATATTGATTCCTGAAAGATCATTTTTCTGATATCTTCTTTTATTACAAACAGAATGTGGGTGTGCACTGTTGTAAAACTGTGAAATAAAGGTTTTGTGCAGGTACATTTTCCATTCATCAAGGTACAAACAATGTAAATGTTCCCTCAAAGGTACATCAGTGGTTTTACGGTCCAGTTGCGTACCTTAAATAAGTTTTTCCAGGTTAAAAGTACGTATTTGCACCTTTTCATAACCTAAGATTTTAAAATGAAAGCCTGGAGACGAGACGTGGTGTGTGGAGTCAGTACACAATACCATTTCAGTGGATTATGGTACAGTTATGTTCCCTTATTAAAGGTACTGAGATGTACCCTTGAGGGTACCACCCCAGTGACAAGAGGGGTACTGCCCCAGTGACAGTTTCAGACCTTTTTTTTCTGAGAGTGTGGCTTAAAACAGAAATTAGTGTGGAATTATTTTAATGGGTATAGTCCTCTGTAGTCAAATGTCATTCTGTAGTCGACATCATGCAAACATTCAAAACTCTGGGTCTAAGCAGAATTTTCTATGGAAAAAATGAAGAGTGTGATCGAAAATCATTGCTATTGCTCCCTGTGGTGAAGCAAATGGTTCCAAACCAGACACATTCTGTTCTACATACATTTTTCTCCAGAATGTTGTCGAATACTCTGAATTACGAGGTCATTTAGATGTCAGCCTAGATGCGAATAAAGCTACATAATCGCTACAAGCAAGCTAACACTCCTGCACATTGAAATGACACTGCACGAAAGTAAGACTACTACTAAAAACTTCAACACTATATAACAACACCATCTGCCCAAACTATCGCCAACCACTGCCAAAGCGACTCAACCACCACATTTGACAAAGCTTGTGTGGTTTGTATGGGGTATTTTGGTGAGGTGGCAAAGTCAACAATAACAACAATTTTCAAAACTGCATTAATTTTCCCCATATGGGCGTGACGTTCCTAATATGGGAATAACGCCCACTACAGAATGACAACATGACTTTAGAGGTCTATAATTACTGACTGCAGGAGACTGCAGACTAGTCAAGAAGCACCGATGTTAATAACATTCATATGAATGTGATTTAGAGAGCCAATCAGCAGTCTAGATTTTGTAACTAACATGCTTATTGGCTCCCTGATGCTGATAAGGGTATTACAGTGCCAATATCATGAAAAACTGAATTCTTCTTGCTTTACTGAAATAGAAAATCCTGAAAGAGTTTGATGTAGTACCTAAACATAGTTCAAACATTGTTCAACGAATAAATATTAATAAATTCAGTCCATTTATGGTAATTAAGTTGCAAAAACAGTCCATCTGAATTCTCTGTTTCTGTGATGTCACGAGAATCAACTCATTTACACAAATCCGCCTATTCAGCCAACAGCAGTTCAGCCCTGCTCAATCATACTGAGGTTTTAAGGAGTGTTTCAGCTTCGAAAGCTTTTTGAATGCAGCACAATAATACAGGGCAGTTAATCAGAACAGTGCTCATATATCTTGTATCTTTCCTAAAGGCACAGTAACAAAAACAGCCTGTTTAATTCTAAAGGATAAAGAGGGGGTGGAAAACTGACACGTAAAACAAATTATGACCATGTTTGGTGCATAAAACAACATAAATGTTTTAAGTGGACCTCTGAGGAAAAAAATAAAATACAAGAAAAACCCAGGATATGGGTCTTTTAAACTTCGTATTGAACAAAACAAAATTTTCAGTACTGAAGTAATTCAATCAGTACCACAAAAAAGTATTAGGTTTTGATACCCAGCCCTAATGACTACATACGCATTAGTGCAAGTATCAGAAAAAATGTCGGTCATTTACGTACGAATGATAAATTGGCCACCTTAGCTCTTCCCTAGCTTTCACCCCCAGATGGTATGACCAGTGCAGTAGGCAGCGAACAATACCCTGCTTTACATGTGCCGCGGAAAGGTCAGGGCGTCTTGTTAGCAGCCTCCCAGCTACATCTCCCTGACAGTAATAAATAAACTTGACCAAAATAGGAACGACACGCAGCAGAGACACACCAGGGACATCAGTGGCAAACTATAGGCCAAGGTCACAATTTACGAGCATTTTTCACTGTATGAAGTGATCTGTGGGGTTTGGAAAATGTCAGGCTACTGATAAAAGCCACAGATCTTCTCTTACTAACAAACTGTCATTGCTGCGCGACACCATTTTTACACAAACCTTAACTCACCTCTGGCTGACAAAGGTGTGTGCAACTGCAGCACTAAACTTGCCACTGTCATCCCTTAAGGGACCCACTGAGTTATCCCTGCTTTTTGGCAATAAAAGAGTCTGATGTACCATGTAAACATCGCCATGTTTCAAAACCCAGTTCATACTTGGAAACTGAGCTGCAAAAACAGACTGTTTTTTAAGATATCATGGTTGTGATTTCACAACACGTTTACATATGACTACCCATCAGGCCTGGGTGTTATCTAAAAATAATTAGTATGATCTCATTCACCTATTCTTAACTGATATGCTTTTTTACATGAATGGTTTCAATGAAATTGTTTAATAAAAGTCAAATTTTAAATATAATACAGTGCAAATCAACAACTTTTTAAATGTTCATCGGTTATTTTAATAGATATTACTGCAAACATGCATTAATGAACACCTTCTGGTGCAGATGCACGGCGACTTGCGTGCTAATAGCACTCCCTGCTGGAAAAACTTCTGACTGCAAGTGATTTCCAAAGCCAAGCCTATGTGCTTTACATTCAAACTGAGGTGATTTCCATCATGTTAGCAGAGTATAGACGCCTCTGAAAAGACAATTTTTCAGAATTTAACTAACCCAAACCAACAGGGCACTTAAGCTGTACAGAAATCACATTTTTTCTTTACCTTTTCTGATTCTGTTTCCGTAGAAGGGGATCAGTGGAACCTTCCCTACTTCTGAAAGGTCCAGCTGGAGCCAGCTACTCTAAGGTAATTTATACAGTCACTTTAGTTTAGGTTGTTTTACTGCAGCCAGTCATACTGGACCACGCTGAAGTTCCAAAGCATCTCAGCATTTATTTTCGGTTCCATACACTTGAACTAGCATCACAGTGAGTAACAAAGAGAGCTAACAGGCAG